AAATCCGTAGCTTGCCAACCTGGCTGATGGTTAAATTACTTCTATGGCTAATTATAATTATAGATTCTTAGGGTCCACCCAGACCTATGAGACAGAACCTCTGGCAGAAGATACCAGGAACCTGTGTGTTTTAACAGACTTCCATGAGGGGGAGAGACGATGGGGACAATGTAACTAATGCATAATATAAGTCTAATCAGAATTGTCACTATGAATCTCCCCTGTATAATGAATATGTCCTAATAAAAAATTATTTTAAAAAACAGACTTCAGGAGCTAGGGATGTAGCTCAATGGTAGAGAACTGTCTAGCACATGTGAGGCCCTAGGTTCAATCGTTGGCATCACCAAAAATAAAAAAAAAAACAAAAAAAACTTCTAAGATGCTTCTGATACTTGGTCAGGCATAGTAGCCATTCACAGGAATCCTGATGAGCAGAGGTCACTTAGCACATGATGAAAAATCAGCAGCCTGTCACCATAAGAAAGGCACCCAGGAAACAGAAGAGAAATTTTAAAATGTCCTAATTTGTGTCCTCAGAAAGACTTGAGAGGAAATTGCATAAAGAGGAGCAGGAGGTTCCCACTCTTGCCCAGCGCCATCCTGCCTCCTGAACTCAGATCATAACCACTCATTCAAGCAGCACCTTCACTGACACCCATCAGATCCAACCCTGAGGCCAGGGCTAAGCTGGAGTACTCATACACTGGACCTTTCCCAACCTCCCACATCTGGAAGGGAGATTAATTCAATAAAAGAATATGAACTGATGCAAGGAAACTCACACATCAGACCAGTAAGGAAAAAGAATGGGTTACAAAACTAGGCACACAGTTCTATCTCAACGGTTTGTTTTTGTAGGGTGTGTGTCTGTGTGGGAGAGAGTGTGCATGTGTATGGGAATATGTGTGAAAGTGTGTTTTTCTGTGTTCTGTCTGAGTGTGTGAGAGTGTGTGTTAGTGTGTTGAGGTGTGTGAGTTATATAGTGGGGTTATGTGGATGAGTATGAGATTGAGTGACAGTGTGTATTTGTAGGTTATTGTGTCGGCTTGTGTGTGTATTCACGTATTTGTGACTATGCATGTATGAGCAGGCGTGAAAGTGTGCATGTGGGTGTGAGTTTGTGTTGACTGTGTGAGTGTGTATATAGGTGAGTGTTTATGTTTGTGAGTGTGTTGGTGAGTTAGTGTGTGAGTGTAAATGTGTGTACATCTTGTGAGTGTATGGGGGAGTATGTTGGTGAGTGAGTCATTGTGTGTGTATTCATGTACAGGATGTGAGTGTTTGTGTGTAAGCATTTTTGTGTTCAGGTGTGGGAATGAGTGTGTGAGAGTGTGTTAGTGTGTTCAGGTGTGAGAATTATGTACTGGGGTTATGTGGATGAGAATGAGATGGAGTGGGTGTGGGTATCTGTATGCTAGTGTGTCGGATCGTGTGCATTCTCATATGTGTGAGTATGCATGTGTGTATGTGTGAGGGTAATTTTGGGTGAGTATGAGAATGTGAGCCTAGGGCTATGTGTTTGTGTTAGCATGTGTGTTCACATGTGTGTGTTATCGTTGGTGTATATGTATGTGTGTGTGTGTTTGTGTGTATGAGTGTGTGTGCACGTGTGTTTGTGTACATGTGTAAGTCTGTGAATTTGTGATTGTGTGCAGGAGTGAGAGTGTGCATGTAGCTGTGTGTTGCTGTAGGTTTGAGTGTGTGAGTGTGTATATATGTGCATGTTTATGGGTGTGAGTGTGTTTGTGAGTCAGTGTGTGTGTGTATATGTGTGTACATGTTGTGAGTATGTTGGTGTGGGAGTGTTTGAAAGTGTGGAGTGGAGTGGAGTGGTATTGGGGTTTGAACTCAGCACTTTGCACTTGATAGGCAGGCACTCTACCACTTGAGCCACACCCCAGCCCTCTATCTCAGTTTTGTTAAAATTAGAGGAGAGGAAGGAGGGAGGGGAGAGAGAGACCTAGAAAAGTATAAACAAAAATAATAATAAAGGAAGGGGGAAATTTAAGTAATTTACTTTTTAAATCAGGACATGGCTAGGGTAACAGGGCCTCACCCTCCCTGACACTTTCCTGACCACCCAACCCCTGGAACCTCCCTTGTCTCACAGAGCCCTGCATCTCACTGGAGTTGTCATGATTGCCCGGTAGGATTGGGAGCATTAAATGAGACAATGCAGGTAGCACACTTGGCACAAGGCCTGGCACCTGGAGCACACTCAACCAGAGGTGGCTTGTGAATTGCTCTCTTTCACCCTATGAGTGAGTAATTCCAGGATGCCAGGCAACAGCCACCTCTAGAAGCCAACCACTACTTTTCCATCACTCTCTCTGCCCCTAGAGAAAACAGCCTAACATGTTGGGTAGGAGCAAGCTGGAGAGCAGGGGAGCCAAGAACTCCAGCGACAGCCTCACTCCTTGGGTGCTCTGCCTTGGAAATCTGAGCAACAATCACTTATGTTTCTGAAACTGCCCCATCCTTCATAAGGAATTTGGATGCAAGTTAAAACAAAACGCTGCTGGCAGGTCTTCTCCAGAAGGCTTGATTGAGCTCAGGTGCCAACCTGACACTGGCTCCTGGGAGATCTTCTCTTGGGGGCGGGGCAAGCCTTCACAGAGGAGGAATAACCTCTTTCCTGCAGGGAGCTGCAGGGCCAGGGAGAAGATGAAAAGTGTGCAGGTCTGTTCTCCAGAGAAGAGTTGTTATCTCTACCATGGGTACCTGGAGTCAGCTTTGCCCAGGCCTTCGAGGCACATGCCAAGCTGATATTTAGGGGAACTCAGTCTGCAACCTGGGGGCTTGGAGTAGGACCCCCTGCCCCTTGCTGTTTAGCTCAAGCCTGAGGACAGCTCTGAGACCCCCTAAGGTGCGTTTTGAAGGATAGAATCCTCCCATCTCCACTATGGGTCGGATTCCCAATGAAGAATTCAGGCGACAGCCTCCAGGCCACCTTGGCTGAGTCTGCACCTGCCAGGTTGTTCAGCCAAAGAAAAGCGAGTGAATGAGTTCTCCAGAGGAAGTAACTAGACCTTGATTTACCCAGAGCTGCTGGCTAATGGGAAACTCCGTGGTGACAACCCGGGTCTCGGAAAGATTAACTGGGGCGTGATTATTCCAGCCAAGTGAGGCAGAACCAAGTGCAGCTGGCAGCAGCGCGGGGCAGCAGGTGGTGTCCAGCAGTTTGCTCGCCTGGGCCTGGGCAGGGTCCTTGGGCGATCACAGGAGGAAGGGGTCAGAGAAGTGCCCCAAACAGGAAAAGCGCCTGCTCCCTGCCGCTGTCACCTTGGGGGCTGGCTCTTCTGCGCGTGGAGAGCAGGGGAAGCAGCCGGTGCAGCCTGGCCCACAGGCACTTACCATAGGTGGTGAGGTAGAAGGACAGGTCGGGGTGGGCGCGCCGGCTGCCGAGGGAGACCCGGTGCAGGGATCGCTCCATGGCGTCCCGGCTGCGGGCAGGGCAGGAGCGCGGTAACCCGAGGCCCGGGCGGTGTTGCTGTCCGTAACCCGGGCAGCAGGATCACGCGCCCCCCGCGCGGGCGTCCGGTGGCGGGAGCGGGCGGGAGCGGGGGACCGCGCCGCCCCGCGCGTTGGAACGGCCGGGCGCGCCGGGCTCTGATTGGCCCGCGCTGGTTTGAATGGGGAGATTTCCACCTGACGGGGCAGACGCGGGCCAGAGCAGGGGAGGAGTGGACGCGCGGAGCTGCGAGGACCGCCACCCGCCGCCAGAGGGGACGGTGTGGCGGCGCCGCAACCCCTGGCTCCAGCGCCGTGCTTCAGGCTGGAAGTGGCAGCCTTACAGGGGGCCCGCGGCCTGGGCGGGCTTGAACTGCTCGCCCTGCTCCCCCAGGCTGCAATTAGCCGGGTTTGTAACCAGCTTTGAAGCTCAAACCTGTAATCACCAGACCCGAGCAAGGGCAAAGGGACACCTTTCTGGCCCAGTGCAGTGGGGTTTGGGAGCTAGTCTCCGCACTTGCACAGGCCACTTCCCCCACCAGGCTGCAGCCCCTTCCCTGTCAGCCTGGATTGCTCTCTTGAGCCTCCTCCTGGAATGAGAGCAGCCTGGCACAGGTCCAGATGGAAGCAGCTTGCTTTAGCCAGCCTCATGGGCTCCCATCTGCAGCCTGGTGCCATCAGTCAGCAGGGCAGGCCCCCACCATCTGAGGACACCCCAGGCACTCTGAATCTCTCCAGCCTGGTGCAGGGAGACAGAACTAGAGGAAGGTCAGCCCTTGCCTGGATTTGTCGGCAAACATTCAGGAGACACCTCCAGGGAGTGGTTTCACACCAAGACATCTGCTCTGCAAATCTCTGACTGCTACCACTGTGGGAGGGAAAGCTGCTGGTCTCCTAAATCTAAAAATGGGAAGTGTTGCTATTTGTCCCTGGTCCCCTAACTTCTTTGCCAAGTGGGTATTTGTGGTTCAGTGATCCACTCAAGACCAGATTTGGGGATGTGAGAGAGAAGAGTTATATACATTGAGCACCAGATGCCAGGAGCTAAACTGAGCAATCCACACACACCATTTCAGTCCTCACAGTGAGCCCAGCTCCAGTTTACCAGGAGAAATCTGAACCTCAAGCAGAGAGGGCAGGTGACTATCCAAGGTTTGCAGCTCTAGGAACAGGCAGAACTGAAATTTGAACCCAGGCCTGTCTTCCCCAAAGACCATGGCCCTTTGTTCTTTCTTGGTCACCACACCTGCCCCATGGCCAATAAATGGAGGTAGGAAGTCTGCCTTCTATGAGGCAGGTAAGGAAACTAGATGCCACAGTTTCCTCTAGCCACCATTGGGAAGCAGAGATTGAAGAAGGAGCCCTTAAGGCAGCAAACTAGGGATCAAGTGCAGATGAGACACAAAGTCTGGTGAATTATTTGAATCCTGGCACTTTGTGAAGCCCTGTCCTGCTCTTCCCCCTATCCCCACCCCTGCACCATGAACACCGCCCTTAGCACAGGAAGCCCATTCTCCTGGCCCCAACCCATTGCCAGATAGATTTACCTGAATACTGAACCTGGGCATGCCTGATCCTCTTCCTAGCTGGAGAAGTCTGAGTCCAAGCATCCCTTCTAGACAGGGCACTGTCCTGGCTCAGCCACTCCATCCAGATAGGGAAAAATGAGCAACCTTGTGCTCAAGCCACAGGATGCAGACAGGACTGAGTGTCCTGAGCTGCTGCAGACCTGCAGGAGCAAGATCAAGCATAAGTTTGGCATGGCATGAAGATGCTCCCTGCAAGGCGTGTTCACTCCCAGAAAGATCTAGAACACAGAAACCAGGACAAAGGAAGGTCCACAAGGAGAGATGTGCTGAAGGTGACAGTGGCCTTCCTCACACCTCTGCCAGGGACCACTGGAGAGCCCTGTACTGAAGGGGACCACTTTGGATGCAGGAAGCTGAGTATAACGCTGAGGGTAAGACCTGGCAGATATAGAATTGAGCTGTCTGAATGTGGTCTAGGAGAGAAAAGCCCACACTAGGCACTTTGCACCTATTGGGAACAAAGGTTCTGCTGCCTTGAAGTTTCCCTCCTGACTCCTGCCCTACTCAGCAGCTAACCTATTCAGTGGGGAGTCCCCAAGGCCAGCCTGATCCTGATCTGACTCCTTTGTGTCACCACCTTCACCACTTGTACTATCTTCACTGCCACCAGTAAGGCTCCTTTACTTAGCAAAGCTCTGGAAGCCTCCTCTTCTTTTTTTTTTTTTATTCATATGTGCATACAAGGCTTGGGTCATTTCTCCCCCCTACCCCCACCCCCTCCCTTACCACCCACTCCGCCCCCTCCCTCTCCCCCCCCAATACCCAGCAGAAACTATTTTACCCTTATTTCTAATTTTGTCGTAGAGAGAGTATAAGCCATAATAGGAAGGAACAAGGGTTTTTGCTGGTTGAGATAAGGATAGCTATACAGGGAGTTGACCCACATTAATTTCCTGTGCGTGTGTGTTACCTTCTAGGTTAATTCTTCTTGAACTAACCTTTTCTCTAGTTCCTGGTCCCCTTTTCCTATTGGCCTCAGTTGCTTTTAAGGTATCTGCTTTAGTTTCTCTGCATTGATGGCAACAAATGCTATCTAGTTTCTTAGGTGTCTTACCCATCCTCACCCCTCCCTTGTATGCTAAAGCTTTTATCATGTGCTCAAAGTGCAATCCCCTTGTTGTGTTTGCCCTTGATCTAATGTCCACATATGAGGGAGAAATACGATTTTTGGTCTTTTGGGCCAGGCTAACCTCACTCAGAATGATGTTCTCCAATTCCATCCATTTACCAGCGAATGATAACATTTCATTCTTCTTCATGGCTGCATAACCATTGTGTATAGATACCACATTTTCTTAATCCATTCGTCAGTGCTGGGGCATCTTGGCTGTTTCCATAACTTGGCTATTGTGAATAGTGCCACAATAAACATGGGTGTGCAGGTGCCTCTGGAGTAACCTGTGTCACAGTCTTTTGGGTATATCCCCAAGAGTGGTATTGCTGGATCAAATGGTAGATCAATGTCCAGCTTTTTAAGTAGCCTCCAAATTTTTTTCCAGAGTGGTTGTACTAGTTTACATTCCCACCAACAGTGTAAGAGAGTTCCTTTTTCCCCACATCCTCGCCAACACCTGTTGTGGTGGTGTTGCTGATGATGGCTATTCTAACAGGGGTGAGGTGGAATCTTAGTGTGGTTTTAATTTGCATTTCCTTTATTGCTAGAGATGGTGAGCATTTTTTCATGTGTTTTTTGGCCATTTGAATTTCTTCTTTTGAGAAAGTTCTGTTTAGTTCACTTGCCCATTTCTTTATTGGTTCATTAGTTTTGGGAGAATTTAGTTTTTTAAGTTCCCTACATATTCTGGTTATCAGTCCTTTGTCTGATGTATAGCTGGCAAATATTTTCTCCCACTCTGTGGGTGTTCTCTTCAGTTTAGAGACCATTTCTTTTGATGAACAGAAGCTTTTTAGTTTTATGAGGTCCCATTTATCTATGCTATCTCTTAGTTGCTGTGTGCTGCTGGGGTTACATTGAGAAAGTTCTTACCTGTACCTACTAACTCCAGAGTATTTCCTACTCTTTCTTGTATCAACTTAAGAGTTTGGGGTCTGATATTAAGATCCTTGATCCATTTTGAGTTAATCTTGGCATAGGGTGATATACATGGATCTAGTTTCAGTTTTTTGCAGACTGCTAACCAGTTTTCCCAGCAGTTTTTGTTGAAGAGGCTGCTATTTCTCCATTGTATATTTTTAGTGCCTTTGTCAAAGACAAGTTGGTTATAGTTGTGTGGCTTCATATCTGGGTCCTCTATTCTGTTCCACTCATCTTCATGTCTGTTTTTGTGCCAGTACCATGCTGTTTTTATTGTTATTGCTTTGTAATATAGTTTGAAGTCAGGTATTGTGATAACTCCTGCATTGTTCTTTTGACTGAGTATTGCCTTGGCTATTCGTGGCTTCCTGTGTTTCCATATAAATTTCACGGTAGATTTTTCAATCTCTTTAATGAATGTCATTGGAATTTTGATGGGAATTGCATTAAACATGTAGATTACTTTGGGGAGTATCGACATTTTTACTATGTTGATTCTACCAATCCATGAGCATGGGAGATCTCTCCACTTTCTATAGTCTTCCTCAATCTCTTTCTTCAGAAGTGTATAGTTTTCCTTGTAGAGGTCTTTCACATCTTTTGTTAGGTTTACACCTAGGTATTTGATTTTTTTTGAGGCTATTGTAAATGGAATTGTTTTCATACATTCTTTTTCCGTTTGTTCATTATTAGTGTATAGAAATGCTAATGATTTTTCTATGTTGATTTTATATCCTGCTACCTTGCTATAGCTATTGATGGTGTCTAGAAGCTTCTGAGTAGAGTTTTTTGGGTCTTTAAGGTATAGGATCATGTCATCTGCAAATAGGGATATTTTGACAGTTTCTTTACCTATTTGTATTCCTTTTATTCCTTCTTCTTGCCTAATTGCTCTGGCTAGGAATTCCAGTATGATGTTGAATAGGAGTGGAGATAGTGGGCATCCTTGTCTGGTTCCTGATTTTAGAGGGAATGGTTTCAGTTTTTCTCTGTTAAGTATAGTGCTGGCTGTAGGTTTGTCATATATAGCTTTTGTGATGTTGAGGTACTTTCCTTCTATTCCTAGTTTTCTTAGAGCTTTTATCATGAAATGGTGTTGGATCTTATCAAAGGCTTTTTCTGCATCTATTGAGATGATCAAGTGGTTTTTGTCTTTGCTTCTGTTAATGTGGTTTATTACGTTTATTGATTTTTGTATGTTGAACCACCCCTGCATCCCTGGGATGAAGCCTACTTGGTCGTGGTGAATAATCTTTTTGATGTGTTGTTGAATTCGGTTTGCCATTATTTTGTTGAGGATTTTTGTGTCAATGTTCATTAAGGAGATTGGCCTGTAGTTCTCCTTTTTGGAGGTGTCTTTGCCTGGTTTTGGGATAAGTGTAATACTGGCTTCATAAAATGTGTTTGGCAGTTTTCCTTCCCTTTCTATTTCATGGAACAGTTTAAGGAAAGCCTCCTCTTCTTAAAGAGACAGATTGCTTTTCCTCAGGAGGTGGAGGACAGAGGTGAGTGGGAGCTTGGACAGTGGCACTGCAGGAGGGTCTTGCACTGTTGACCCACATTGCCATCCACAATGATATCCAGAAAGGGTTGCGATCCTGACCCTGCTTTCCTTAAGAAGGCAGGTGAGTTTAAGGAGCAAGCCTGGCTGTCTTTAACATTCCCTGAGTACTCTAACACCCCTTGGGCCTCAGTATCCCCCTTCTACCTCACCCACACCCCCTCCACATGTGCATAAACATATTGCACACACACAATACAAATGTCTAAGCTACACACACTCTGTACTCTTACATACACTACACACAACACATCTCATGTACATTCACACACCACACACACACACACAAATAAATACTGCACGCACATTTCCCACATATATGCAAACACACCCCGCACACTATACACACTTCCTGTGCACATACACAAAAGCATACACATAGCACACAAAATACACTTAAATACACCAAATACATACACCACATTCAAGTACACAGGTTGGTTATAGGGATTTTTTTAAAGACTGACTTGGAAGAATAAGATATATATGGATTTGAAAGGCAGAAGTTAAAAGGATTTCTTTGGGTGCATTTTCACATTGACTAACAAGGAGTCTTAGCAATTTATACCTCTGGCCAAATAACAAGAGAAACTTGAAAAATAATAATAAAGGAGATTTGGACTACCAAATGTTAACAGCATTTTAATAATGTAATACCAAAAAGAAAAGAAAAATAAATCAATGGAATAGAATATAAAGTCCAAGAGAAAAACATTTTATTTAGGAAAAAAAAAGAAAGAAAGATTGGACTGGAGGTGGAGCTCAAGTGGTAGAGTGCTTACCTAGCAAGCTTAAGGCCATGAGTTCAAACCTCAGTGAGGGAGGGAGGGAAGAAGGAAGGAAGGAAGGAAGGAAGGAAGGCTATAACTAAAGAAGTTTAAGAAAGAGATATGACTAAAATACAAAAGTAATTTTGTAGATTATAAGAAAAAAACCATTGCAACCTTGTACAAATTTTAAAATCTTGGGGGAGGGGATAGATGGGTTTTTAGAAAGTACTAATTACTAAAACTAATACACGAATTTGATCGATTTTAGATTTATAATTATAGATCTAACAGATGTTTATGTCTATACATGGTAGATCTATTTATGCTTAATAGATCATTAACCAGAGAAAAAATAGAAAAGAAAACCAAAACTCTACCTGACAAAATTCTAAAAAGACAAGATAGTTTAGGAGGCTAATTCTATAAGACTTTCAAAAAAAAGATAGAGTTTAAGCTATTTCATAACTTAGGGAAAAATGGAAGACTCATTAGTGGTAAGTAGGAGGCTAGATAAATATAAAAGCAAATAAGTTTAGCAACAGAAAATTATGAACCAAGGTCAAAGAGAAAAGCAAGAGTAGAAATTAATGGAGCTGGAGGCATGATTCAACCTGTAGAGTAGGAAGCCCTGAGATCAAACCCCAGTATCACCAAAAATTAAAAATAAAACAGAATTTAATGAAATAGAAAACATA